GCTCTTTAGAGATCTGGATTGGACTAAAGGGAGCCAAATGGAGGCCATTTGGCCCTACTGGTTCTCCTCTATAGGAGGGAGCAGAAAGGCATTGGTTTGGTCTCCTGTCTCCACTCCCTGAGGATTGCTTCCATGGTCCTATCACTGCCACTCCTGCTTGCAGAAGGCACACTGGTTTAGTCTCAGATTTACTAGTGGTCATTAGGTCCCGTGCCAGGGTCAGGGACTGTCATCCAAGGTGAGTTCTTTGCTTCTAGGGCCCTGGAGGGTCCTGAAGGGTGACTGTCAACAAGGCTCCTTGCTTCCTCATTAACTCCTCCACATCTCTATTGTTGAAAACTTCAAAGGCAAGCCAGGTATGGTGGTGCTTGTGTGTGAGTGTTCTGCCTGCATGAATGTAAGTGCACTCATGTTGTACAATGACCACAGAGGCTAGAAGTGAGAATCAGATTCCCTAGAAGTGTAGTTATGGATGGTTGTTAGGCACCATGTGGGTGCTAGTGCTCTTAACTGCTGAGTCAACCCCCTTTTTAAGCAGAGTCTATTTCACCTAAGCTGGGTTTGAACTCCTGGGTTCAAGTAATCTTCCTGTCGCCGCTTCCATGTTGCTGGGACTGTGCCTGGCTTCATTCTAGTAACTTTAAGAAAAAAATTCTTTCTCCTGTGGCATTAATACTAAAATTACCTCAAAACTATTTTTCATTCTTCTCTTTTTCCTTAAAATTGTATCTTCTGGGCCTTGGGGATATGGCTCAGTTGGTAGAGTGCTTGCCTAGCATGCACCAAGTTCTAGATTCAATCCTCAAGACATAGAGCAAATACTGAGAAACACTTATTAGAGCAGAGACCATGTTAACAATTTTATTTATTATGTGCCAAACTTTACTATATATTATATTACATATAGTTATAATATAATGTCTGTATTTAATCTTTAACCTTGTAATATTGATATTACATCTGAAAAAAAATCTGAGATGTATAAAATGTACATACACATGCACACACACATACACCAGTTTTGCAGATACAAGATACTAGAAATCAGCCACTTTATAAAAGTTTATTAACCTCACTGTCTTAGAAGCTACGAGTTCAAACAGCATGACATTGGTTCTGGCTGTATCACATAATGGTAGGAGCACCTATATATCTCTATATGTATATGGTCTCCTCCCTCCTGCTTTCTTCCTTCCCCCTAATAAAGACACAAGGGTTCCCTCATTAGGTCTCTACCCTAATAATCTAGACTAATCATTTCCAAAAGAACCATCACTAGGCACCAGTCTGATTGATTCTACCTTCTTACTGCCATTAAAATAGGATTTAGAAGAGGAAACACCTGCATGAGTTCAAGGGAACCAACCACTCCCAGCTCTCATTGACTTCTCAAACACATGTCCTTCTTACATACAATTCCTTTTAATAATACCAGAGTCTTAGTTCCTTCCAGCATAGGTTCAAAAGTTCAAAAGCATGCAGTTGTGAGCAAGCAGTCCCAAAACAAATTACAGGGTAAACCTTCCTACCCCAAAAGGAAGGAATGAGAAAGTGATGAGTAAGTAATCTGCCTCAAACAAAAGCAAAACCAAGCAAGGCAAACATTAAATCTCAAATGTCCAAGTCCAGCATCCTGTTCACAGGAGACAGGTTGGGCCCAAGGCCTGGGCAGTTTCTCTCCTATGGGGCCTTCCTCAACTTGGCCCCTGCTTCAGTCCTCATAGGTTGGAGTCTCCCGTTTGCAGCTTTCCCAGGCTGGCATCTCATGCCAGTAGCTATGAAGTCCTGGTGGTTCAACAGCAGTGCTCCCCCTG